TGGCCATGGCGACGCCCAACTTTTATGTTTAAAAGCTACCTGAAGTCGTTCCGCTAATAACTCCCTCCATTTCGATTGGCGAGAGCGTGATGATGAGGAGAAAGAGTTGGCACTAGCAACTCGTCCGACCACGCCCTTTCTCCGCCTTATGTACGTACAAGCGCGGTCCACCATGAAGTTCCATATGGGACACTTCGTGCAAGTTTTCTCCGTTTTTTTTGTGTTATGCACCATCTTGTCTCTAGCAGTTAAGCCGCACAAACTTACTTTGAAAACTGGGCATGCTGTTGGGGCCAGATATGACTTCCCTCTGAGGCGAGCAAATATGTCCCCTCCCCTAGTGGGAAGCAGTGTTCCAACGATAAAGGTAGCGCGCGTGAAACAGAAGAAATTGACATTAAAAAAAACTGAGGCGAAATACGATTCTCCCCCTCCTCTCCAGGTACCAAATGCGGTCCCATGTTCCCCGGTGTAAAACGTGCTGATTCGGAGGAATCCACGAAAAGGATTAGCTACATACTGATTTGCCCCTCCGATTCCCTTCCCCCCGTAATGACATGCATGCCTTTTTTGTTCACGGATTCTTCAGTGCACGAAATTTCCGCGATCCTTTGGTGTCCACGTGTTTCTACCAATAGGAATTTCCGGATTGCGGTCTGTGGAAGTTCATATTTTTCTGTAAAAAATGGAATCACTTGAAGTTGAACATTCTTTCAATATCCGAACACTGCAATACACAGGTCCCGTACGTAAATAACATAAAACGCGGTCCCAAATCGTTCTACGCTCTGAATCGCTATAATCTTGTCATTAACTGTGCGCGCAGGGTTCAATGTCATCCTCGCAGCGAGTTGTATGAGTGAGTTAGGGGTGCGCCAGTAAGTAAGGAAAAAGCAAGGCTGCGTTTTCACCTTGCGACACTGGGAAATCGTGGTTGAAGGGTCGGAAAACTGCGGAATCGGGAGAACCGGAGGGGCGGCGAAAAAGAATTTCACGTAAGGATTCAATACCGTACACTCGTCAAATGCCCAAATGCTACGGTTCGTGCTTTTTCTGTTGCTGCGATTGCGCCTTTTGACGGTGTAGCGCTGCGGTCGTGGTCGCGCTAAGCGACCGGATCGTGAAGTATGAACGCGCTCTGACAAACTCTTACGATGTCAAGGGTGTAAGGAGCCTTCACTGGGGCCGATGCCGGCCGTTTCTTGCTGACTCCTCCTCATGAACGTCACCTCACATTTTGTAGTTCATGGTTGAGAGCCATATCCTCCTTCCTATCAAAAATGTTCCAACATGCAAAATATTCCCCGAAAAACTGCCGCTGACGGGTTCAGCGGGAGGAAGGCGGGAGGGGGTATGAGACATATGAAACGGGAAAAACCGAGAAAAGTGAACAACTGGAAAAAATTTTCTCGCACACAGGAAAAAGTTCTCGAGCCGAGCACGACCACCTTGCCTGGTATCGAAGAATCCCTCGTAAAACCACAGGTAGTTGGCCCGCCTGATTATTAGATTTAAGGAGTATCGCACCAAAAGTGCGCAAAGTCCCAATTTAGTACATGACAAAGCACATTTGAGGGTACAATCGTGGTGGTATAGTTTCATAACCAGTTGATTGGTCATAATCCATGTTAGTTGAAAATCCCCGCAACCAGCGCACATTGCCATGATTCGGCTCCTTTTCATCCCCTTGATCGACCCACAATCGATTTTCTCAATAATCTAGCTCTCTTCAGTCGTCTCCATTATTTCAGAACTATGCCTATGCTGTTATCAAGGCAGTGCTTCAAAAAGCAGGACATTTACATTAGGGTTATGGTCCGTAGAACGTCAGGGCACGGCTAGAACTATCCAGGAGTGGGCTGTATTCCCGTTGATGCGAACAGAGCGTACCTGGTTTGTCGCTGAAGGGTATGAATTTTTGGGAAAGAATTAAACACAAGGTTATGTAAGTGACAAATCTTGTCCTCTAGGGTTTCTTAGGGGCATAAACCAGCTAAAGCATTAAAATTGTTTCAGCACTCGCAATAGCCCCAATAACAAATAATTATTATTTAAAAAGTCCACGTATAATGTACGAGTCCTGCAAGTGCGTTAAGGTGGTCTGGCATAGTTGCGCGCTGTTAGGCACCTCCCTTCTCCCAGCTACCTTCACTTCAAGTGAGCGAAGCACTGAAGATGCAATTCCATAGATGTGCAGGCGAGGGTGCAGGGCTGACACTGTCGTCCATAGTTTGTCCAGAGTGGGGGTGTACGGCTTGGGGGGAGGGCATTCTACAGTTGTCGTACTTGATTTGCTATTCCATGTATTAACAGGTCTTACTTTGGAGAGACCTGTAAATTCTTGTGAAGCTGCGAAATGCTGCAAGCGAGCCGTTTAGGTCACAAAAATTCACCGGGCTTTAGAGGATGACATGTAGAAGCTTCGTTGAATACAATTTGGTGCCCCCTCCACAGGCCGAATCGCTCCCGTATCTGAGAGAGTTTTGGAGTAGTTACGGTACTAGTCACCTTGAAAGAGACAGACTTGGGGAAAACAGAGCCTGTCCCCACTCGCTTGCCGGTAGTGAGTACGTTTGCCGTGCACCTAATAGACTCAATTTGCCGTTTGTACTTTTGCGTACCAAATAATTCCAGGTAACTGTACGCAATCGATTTCTTTATTGACAATCGCGAATTTCAGTTGATCGATCCACCATTCTTCTAATCAGATGGTGATCGGTCACATCCTTGTTGTTCTGGTTTTACCACTGCTGGGGTGGTGCCAAAATGGAACGGCAGTTAATTCTACTGAGGTGAGTTCGACGACGTATGTTATAATTATTTCCATGAACTTCAACCGTGTCGCATCCATGAAGAACTGACAAACGCTGAACGCTTCATCTTTGTGCTTTTTCTGCATGTCAAGCTTTTCATGGCCTAATAGATTTTACCGCAGTATTTCAACCGCAAATGCATGGCTACCACATTACTCTCCCCGAAATGACCAGAATTTTACCCCTTATCAAGTCGTACGAAGTGGCACGAGATTCTCATCCCAGAGGTGCAACACTTTCTGAGCACAGGCCGGTCCTCGTGGGCCAGTTGAGTGCTGGTCAGGAGATCCACGTTGCATGGCGCAATGAAACGTCGCACCCGCGGCATTCATAGAAAGCTCTCGCAAATCGACTCAGAGGGGACTTTGTCGATTTGGCAGTCCTTCTGTAGTGGAGGGGGGGGGTGTCGTATTCAGGCTAGCAAGATTTTTTTACGGACTGTTTACAGTTTTGCAAACCTAGCGGCGATCTTCCTGTACTCGCATGCACAAATATCTAAACGCGATGGTCACAAGTTCAATAACCCTCGTCGTTCCCGATTCTTCGACATTACTCTCCCTTCAAAAACTGTTCTTCTGTTCGCCCCCTTAGCGTCGCCTCGTCCGCCCGACGGGGGGGGGGGCGCGTTGGGGGTCTTGGAAGCAGACAATAGCGCTTTTGGAGGAGATAGTATAGGCATAGGAGATTTTGTTTTTAAATGAAGGAGAAGTCGGTTTGAAGTGTGATGTCCTCTGCTGCAGATTTTCAGAATGTGCTCATCATAACAGCAGCGTTCATAGTCTGCGTTCACGTCGGCTTCCTTGAAAACATGCTACACGTTCATCTGCGAGAATGATCCTTCCGATGTGTGAAGGGGGGGGGGGGGACTGAAACGTCGTACGGTGGGAATCATTTCCCCATGCGGAAAGGAGGGTCGTTGTAATCTTTGAGAGGAAGTTTTTTTCGCTGTTGACTTTCTCGGTTTTTCCTGTTTCAAGCGTGCTATTGGCTCCCTCCACCTCGACAACATTTTTGGGAAAGGTGGAGAATTTTCAGGGAAAGAAACTCCGGAAAAAGTTGTAGGAAAATGTAAGAATAGCCAGTATTCCGAACCAGTGAGTCACTTCGAATTGCCGTCACTCCTCCTAGCGCTGCACCACCCTGTCTGCAGGACAGTAATCGTGTACAGTGGATCAACCAATATTCTGCAAACGTTTAAGGCTTTTTCAAAGGGCTTCTTTTTACAGTTAGCAACTTCCACATCCGCAGCGACTAGTACTCAGCCAACAACAGCTACCACTACATCAACCACGACAACAGCAACAACATTACTGGCTGCTAATGCATCTTCATGTCCTACGGTACTGTTCATTCTACTTTTCCTTATGTCTGGATCTTCACTTCAACCATCACATTCGTCATCTTTGAGTGGGAAAGCCATGACGAGCCCGTTCCAATGCCTTTATCACTGATTTTAAAGCCGCGAGACCAGTAGAATCCGAGGAATTGCGTACGAGGCTAGCTCGCACTAGGGGGATCCTATCTATGAGACAGTAGTGGAATGTGTCCTCTGTTACGGAAAGTATTGATCTAAGTCCCCACGAAGCAATAACTGCCACAATAATAATCAGTAGAAGACAAAAATTTATAATTAATTGATTAAAAGTGAAACAGTTGATATGATAGCAGAACGATGCCAGTTGGCTAGCGTGGTCGGAATGGTCAGCATGCTCGGATGATTGTGGATCGTGTGGAATTCATATGCGAACGAGAACTTGTCTCACCATAGATACACGATGTGTTTGTGAAGGGTACGTCAGAACCTCGATCACTATCAAACTCTACCTAATAGTCAAACAAGTGCGTCAGGTATGAGTAGGACAGTTATTGGCGCTCGGTTAGAGATTTCCTAGCTGTTCCCGACGTACATTACTGTACTTGCTGAACCAGTTTGTTCCTGGTGCGTGTAATTCGCATCAGTAACTGACCAATATGGGTGCAGAGCTTCGAGTCACGGTGAGAGCGACGAAAGAAGCGTTGCAAGCGAGATGATGTGCGCAGCATTTGGACCAGGATCCAATCCACCCAACGTTGCAGCGCCTGGAGGCGCGTGATTTTCCCCTCGTCTGTCTCACGAAACTAGCTAGGCCTGCCGCGACCAAGGGTAACAGCATCGGGGATGTGCGCGAAATGTCGGGTGAGTACGACCCCCCTTTCGAATGGGGTCCAGGCACGACCCCCCCCTCCACCTCCACGGCTTTTTCGCCGACGACGAGCGATGAGTATATAGTCGGCGAAAAAGTTGTCGAGCGGGGGGGGGGGGGGGGTATACAATAACTATGCAACGTATACGTATATACCCACGGGCGTACAAAATGCATATAGTGCATATAAAAAATTAATACGACCCCCCTTTTCCACAAGAAAAAATCAACTATCAAAATAAATTTGTCTTCCAAATACGACCCCCCTCCCCAGAGCAAAAGTACGACCCCATGGGTTTGACACAACGATGCTGTACCCTGGCCGCGACATGGGACTAACACCACGCACCCAATCCACATAACGTGATGGTGCAACGGTATCATGAGTCAACTAACTAGGAAACATAACTCATGGGCTCAACCTACTGCTTAAACTACCTGACACTGATTTTCGTATTTCGAAAACTGTTGAGTCGAGGAATAATTCCTCGCTGACAAGTCGCTAGGGACAAAAGAAGTAAAACGCCCGAGAGCCGAGCCTGGAAAATTGACATCAACTACTGGACTGCGCACTTACTTGGGGTGGAGGACGCTGTTCGGCGACTGGGGGATTTTGCACTTTCGCTACTTATCGACGTGTCGACCCATCTAGACAGCCTCTTCTCGAGTTGGCAGGTTTTACCATGATGGTTTGACGAGCTTGCTCCAGCTTCACAAGAGTTCACAGGTTTCATCACAGCGAGACTTGTGAACCGGAACTAGTGAAGCAACGAAAATGCAAAATGCCCCCCCCCCCTACTCGTCGCCAAACTGCGCCGGGCTTGAGCGCCCCCACTAAGGGTTAGAAAAGGCCGAGACAGCGCAGTAACGAAAACCGTTGGACAAAGCACTTACTGAGGGTGTAAAAGAGTTAGGTTATTTCGTTTTGACAGCGATCGTCGCGTAATTTCGTAGCGCGAGCTGGGACAAAGAGAAGCACCCTGAAATATTTGTGTGGGACGGAGAATGAGACGGCATTTGTTTTTTGTACAAAAAATATTGAAAAGATGCCAAATGGTATGCATGGTGTTCATTTTTTTCTTTAGGACAGTCAACAGTAGTCGAATACTGTAATGTGGAGATCTGTCGCTATCCCCGATCAACCTGCTGCTATAATTTCAAGGTTTCTGCCAGAAGTTGCCCTATTGTCGATCTGCAAAATTCAACGAACACAACTATTGATCTTCCAGGTCACTACATACAATGGAATCTTTGCCTGCCTTCCCGACCAATTCTTCTACAAACACCACGATGTCACGTATATGATTTCCATTTCTACTACGGAAATAAGGATTGATAAAATCGGTCTGGAAGAGTGCGCAATAAACAGTTTTCTACTGTAAATTGTTTCGTTTTCACAATGGAGGCATTTTTCATTGGTCGTAGTTGCGGAAACAGCGCCGCTCACGCGCTGGTATCAGGACTTTCTTCCTCTTCCCTAGTAGTACTCGACTTCGTCAGGCTTCAGTTCTAGTAGTTGAATGTCATGAGGTTTCAGATGCTAACAACAAATCAGTTCGTTGGCAGAAACTACCAGTTTTCCCGAGGTCACTGTCTCGCGAAGCACTGAGTACACAATTACGACCAATCTATTCTGTTAATACAGAGTTCACGATTCTGTCTTTTCCCTTTCTGGACCGTCGCAGTCATGGTTGCTACGCTCCGTGGAGCCGTCAGCCAACTCAGTAGTAAAGGAACCACTCTCTCCACCTTCACTTTTGGTTTCTATAGCTT